AGTGAGCCCTGCATATGTGAAAATACCTCTTTTTACTCTCTCAGGTCCCAGTAAGAGAACCTCAATCCCCTAACACCTGAGTGCTAGCACTGGTCTCTCTTCTTCTCATATGAACCCCTTTCCTCTCCCCCTACAAAATCTCAGTTCTTACTTGCACTCTGAGGGCAGCCTTTCCTTCCCACATCTCTTTTTTCCACAGTTCATCTCTAGCCATGCTCTTTTGCTCCTTCTTTAGCTCTGCTTTATCTCTCTCCTCTTTCCTTATGGCTGTTCTCCCTCACTGCCATTCACTCAGCTCCCCCTTACACATACATACATAAACACACACACACACACACACACCCACACACCCACACACACACCCACTCACACACACACACCTCTTTATCTTCATCTCTGTAGTTATCCAGTTACCCGTTACTGTAGTACCTAGCTGACACCCATCTCTCTCCCGCAGACAATCCATCTTTCTCCCCACCACACACCTGCCAAATCTGTCTCCCTCCTTCCTTCCAAGTCTTTCTCTCTCTTTGTTCCCCAGCCAGTCCATTTCTTTGTCTCCCCTACACATAGTTCATCTGTCTTTCTCTCTATGCAATCCATCCCCCTTCCCTTCTCCCACACTCTGCCCATCTGTCTGTCCCTCCTTCCTACAGTTCTCCCTAGCCGATACACATGCACCCCAGTCCATCTCTCACCCCTTCTTTCCCTCCCCTTCACACATTTCACATTGTGTCTCCTACACACCCAGGATCAGGCTTGCTCTCTCCCATACTGAGAGGAGGCAGCAGCAAAGAATTTGCTGCTGACCGCTGCATTGCTAGGAGGCAAACACATGGCCGGCCTTGTGCAGGCCAGTTTCTGCCTGAGTGCCCCAAGTCACATATCCCCAGCATCATCTCCGGCACTGGGAAAACAGATGGTATAATAAATGAGCGCAGTCTGATAAAAGGAGGAAAGGGTGCCTGCCTTGGATCCCCCTCACCCGCACAGAGATATACATCCAACATCGGCACAGCTCTCTTGCTCCTATACCAGTCCAGTTTCCTGCCAGAACTAGCAATTGAGCAAGGCATAAGCACTACCCTTGTACCAGATGGAGAAGAGAGAAGTGGGAGAGGGTGTTAATGGATAGAAAGACCAGTGTTTTTTCCTGGCAGCAGCTTAGAACCCCAGAAAGATAAGTATATGGGAGGATCCAAGCAGTCTTAAGGTAATGGGGGGAAATGTTGGCACAGGAGGTGTAGCAGAACTGTGTGTATGTACGGCTACAAGCAGCAATTAGACCTCCATGTGCAGGGATAGTTAGGAAGAGAAAGGTGAGAGGCATGGACAGTGCACAGGAATAAGATATCAAAATGATTGTGTACTCTGATGGCATTCAGTGATCGCTTTTCCTGTCTTGGAGAAGAGGGAAAACCACCCTGCTGGCAGTCTCAGTGGGGAGGGCCATCAACAGTAATGATTCAGTTCACTTAAAAAAAAAAAAATCCTGAGGTCTCAATGGATGCAGAAACTAGAGAGGAGAGGAAGACCTGCATTACTGTGCTTCTACCCATACCAGAAATGTCCTCCTGTCCTTATTTAGCTTCATGACATTGCCCAAGAAACTGTTCCCTCCGCTACCTCTCCAGACACCTACATCCAGAGACTTACGACATCCTTTCCTGTGCATTTACATCAGTCCCAAGAAACCCACAGTTATTTCCTTTTGCCAGACCCACTAGTTCTTCCTTCCCAATTTAACATTTTCACATTCATTGCAGCCTGATATTTCTGTGCTGACAATAGCACTGAAAAGCATTCTTAACACTGTAAGACATCTTTCCTCTACTCTGTTGTTATCCTTACAAGCTGATTTTATGTCCAATGCTTCAACTGCACCCTGAGTTCCAATACTTCCAGTTTCACAGTCCCCAGACTGAAGCCACCCAACACAACACAACTGAAGTTCTAGAAATAGCACACAATGGCCCCATAAAACTGTTGAAAAGAGAGTAGGTGATGTTTCACAGGAGTCAAAATAGATTAGCAAAACCAAAGAAGGGAAACCAGTGCAGAAAATAGATTCATCCCACACAGAGCTGAAGAAATTATTTATTATAAGTAATTTTATTCATGAACAGGGTGGTTTCTACCTGCTTTACACTGGCCTCATACACATTGCATTTGCCTATGTTTTGAGACTACCTATTGATATTTTGTGGAGGTCTTCTGCTTTATAACTGTTCATGAACAGTTTTTGATAGATCAGTTTTGATAGGTTGTAGTGGTCACTTCTGCTCAGTCAGGTGAGATGCAAGTCTCTTTCCATTTCCTGAATGGATGAACATAATACATTCAGGATGCTGCAGCAAAATTTTGCATAAGCGTATGTGCTGTTTCTCCCTCACAGAAATGTTTAAGCAATGAGATCACCTCAATCTCTAGCAAAAGAAAATACAGAAAGGGCTGAAATTAATTTGTGTTCCAATTAATTGATACAAAGATTTGTGGGTAACAATTGTAGGTATCTTCCCTTTCACTCCAATATCCCACTGAAGAATTTTACTCTGTCTGTATCTCCAACATCTCTTCACACTCTCCTTCCTTCTTAGTTCAAGTGTCTCTAGCCCACCTGCTCTGTTTTTTCTGATCTCACCTGGACATACCTATTCCAGCCACTGATCCTCACAGCACCACAGCTTGCTGTTCTCATCATCCAACACTACTCTTAGGTTTATCATTTTGGATTCTCATTATTGCCCTAGCAAACCATAGCTTCAACCCTCTCATGCAGACTTTGAAATCACCATGCCTTGTTCTGATGCAGGCCCTATGACTTGAACATAAACCGATGCCTACCTTTGACCCTACTCGTCACAACTCTGAATTCCCCAAACTGACCTTGACACAGAGATACTGGCCTTAAAAATCCCTATACAGTTATTTATTCTTGCCAGCTGCTCTCCAGCTTGCAGTGTCATCCAGCACTACCCTGTTTCCTCACTTTTCCTCAATGGTTCAAGCAGATATTACTTTCCTTCCCATCTTTTCTCCGTATGTAATTCCACAAGTCAGGAAAAGCCTTTGGTCTTTCCACTCATATTTCCCACCTTCCCACTTTGTCTCAGCAACTCCTTTATGGCCTTCGTGCAGGGAAATAGATCCCACTCTTTCAGCCTTTGGTCTTTCCACTCATATTTCCCACCTTCCCACTTTGTCTCAGCAACTCCTTTATGGCCTTCGTGCAGGGAAATAGATCCCGCTCTTTCCACCATGTTATTATTCTTCAGCTTTTCCTGCATTTCCCCAGCATGGGACGCAGCAGCTGATCAGTCCTGCCCATATACCTGTTCTGCTTGCAGTCCCTAACTCAAAGTCCTCACATTGTATATTTTTCCACTTCTTTTGCAGAAAGATTACAGGCTCCACATTTCTCCAGCTGATGAATGCCTGGCTGGAGGGAAACTCATCAAACTGACCCCAACTTCGACCCCAGCTTGATGTGCAGGGTCTGTCACATTTCCCTTTTAAACATTGCCAGATTTGGATTTGATTTCAGAGATCAGGAAAGAAAGCAGTTCCAGGCTTCTCTTGACAAACAGCTCTAGGGGAGGAGATATGTGAAGCTGTGACAGAAGAATGAGAGAAAGCCCCCTGCAAGGAGAGAAGAAAAAAAAAAAGAAAACAAAAAAGCCCAATAACTCCAAGTCAGAACGAGAACAGCCAGCATCTGTGAAAGTTATATTGCAGCAAGCTCTGAGGAGCCAAAATTAAGCAGCCAGGACTCAGCTGGGGGTCTCCTGCCAGGAAATTATACTGGAGACTGAGCAACATCCCCTTCTCTCAGGTGACTTTGACTGGGAGTCACATCATAGAAAAGCACTGAAAGGATTGGAGATTGAGGAGCCCTCTTCTCCCTCCCTCCCCCCAATAACATTGTTGTTCCGGGTCAACAGAGGCAAGGGCAACTGGCACAGAAGACATTGTTCTCAAGGCAGGATGACAACAGGAGCAGGAAATAGGATAGGAGAAGGAGAGAGATGATGTGCCTTCGAGCTAAGAGAGGGAGAGGGGGCAAACATGACCCTTGAAGAGCCTCTGTTCAGACTCTACCTCTGCTGTTGAAGGCCCTAGAAGTCCCTTAGCCCTGGCAGTACCATCTGCAAGATAGAAAAATTACTTGCTAGGACCAAGCAGAGATGGCCACTCCCCATCAAGAAGTGGATATGAGATAGAAAGAAAGGGACTGAAAATACATTGGAAGAGGGGGTTCCTATCATGGATGATGTGAGGAATAGGAATGTCTTCCTGCTTCTAGCAGAGATTTGCCATCACACTGCTGGCTTCACACAGGCAGACAGGACAATTGCAAGCAGTTGCCACCTGGACATCATAGATGGAGTATTTATTAAAAGCAGAGCACAGGCTCAAGCAGGACCCCCATGGATCTGTGCAAGCATCAGTAGAAAGCAGTTGCTGCCTACAGAACAGAAACACAGTGTTTTCCCTGCTGTCAGCACCTGCGTCAGGCGCCTGGTTTCCTCTTGAGATACAGCTCTTAATTGGGATAGATTGTACATTTTCTGCTGTAGCCCAGCCCAGCACCCAGCTTAATTGCTAGCTTATGACTTAGCCTGTTTTGCGCTTTCCACGCTACTTCTTTCCCCACTTAATCTAACAAAATTATAGAAAGTACTGCTGGGAGGACCTCAGGAGGCCACACAGTTTATCCTTCTGCCCCAAGGCAGTATTTCATTTTCAACAACATCATGTGTCTTTTGCTATCAGGTCAAATCGGTCCAAGATGTACAGTGGGTAAAGAAATGAAGCTTACCCAAGGGACTCAACTGGCATAAAAGACCAAATCTAGCCCTTTAAAAGTCAGTGAAGTTATATCAGAAATAACCCTGGACCAGATGGTGTCATTTATCAGATCAGTTTTCCGAAAGATGTCCTTTCTTAAATTTTAAATCTCTCAAATGAACAAATCTCTAAAAGAAACTGTTCTGACAGTCTCATTTCAGTATATTTAATGCTTTATTACGAACAGCAGTGACCACTCCATTGTTAAGATTGAACACAGTAAGATTACAATAAGATCAGCTTTGAAACTCTGAACTCCTACAGCACAACCTGATGTTTCTGGAATTTTACATTCTGCATTTCACTCCACAGTAGAATGTATCTAGCAGGTTTAACAAGACAGAACAAAAATCACTAAAGCATCTTTAATGTTACAGCTTTACAAAAATGAGTTTCCAATAAAATTTCAGAAAGTCAGTCAGCTTTTTAGAGTTCACTTTTCCAAAACAATTTGACTAAAAATTCCACCTTTGTTTTCTTTTATTAATCTTGCTAAGAAGTGTCTTGTAGTCTTAGGAGTTGTTAGTGGAGAAGTGAGAGGGATCTAAAAATCAAAGAAAAACAAATCCAAACAAAAAGAAAACCCAGTTTCTGATATATCAAGCTAAGTAAAGCAGGACAGGAGCGTAACAGAGAGCAGAATCATGAGGACCAAAGGAAATATAAGGAGGAGCGGCTCTGAGGAAGAAAGCTTGTTCTTGCCAAACATACAAGCAGGCAGGAAAGAAAAGCTTGAAGGACTACAAATCTCTGAAAGACAGTTAAAGGCCTGCTTGTTTCCTCTCCCTCCTTGTAAAATTTCAGTTGTTCTGGTTGGGCTGGGGCTCTTCGAGGCTGTAAACATCCATGCTGGGCACCTGCAGCACTGCACAGCTGGACAAAGCAGAGAGCTATAAGACGACAATAAGCTTCCTGCTCAGCTTTCTGCCTTCCTCCCACTGTTCTCCGTAAGTAGGGAGACTCAATGGCTATAAGCAGCAAACAGGCATCTTCACCTTATAGATGCAATGACAACAGTTTGCCAACATGTTTTAGACATAACCTCTTTTGTAATTCTAGTCATGGCCTGAGGAAAGGGGCAGTGGGTGAATCCCTACTGACAGCTAATTAGATAATACATTTCCTTTCTCAGGCAATATATCTTTCCCTGCATGGGATGCATTTTTCTTCGCTAACCTCTCAAAAGCAGCTTCCCTATAAATCACAAATCACCTCGGCAAGCATTCCTTAATGAGATCCTCCAGCTTTTGCATTCATTTAATAAACAATGTCCACCCATCTTCATCTTACTGGTGCGTTTAGACTGTTTATCCAAAGTTATGGGAGGTCTTTCTGGTGCGCGGAGATTGAACTCCCCAGTTAAAGATCATGCAGGATTTACTTTATCACCCATTCCTTAGGCATTCACATCCCCCATATACCATGGCACAGACACACCTGGCATGCTATTTTCAACATGAAAAAATCTCTCTCATGTTGTAATCATATCATGAGTGGAACTTAGGGGAAAAGAGCTGCCAAATCAAAACAAAACTTTAGCAGAGATGTTCTTTAACTAGATCAGCACAGCACCCAAAATAACTTTTATTCTTACTAGTTAGAGGTGGCTAGTATCTGCAGTCAAGTCTGCACTCAGCCCATATAAATAGACAGACACCCCCAGGATTAACAAAGCAGCTCATTTAAGATAAAAACCAAAACACAGTAACTCTAATCCAAGTCAAAAAAGGGCGAGTCTTCTAGTTACCCTAAGCCAATGAAGGAATCCTCTCTTCTTTGGAGCAAGTAAGAGCTTTCCCTGCGTGTTCTGCCCTTTATTCAGATGGCTTCCTGCAAAAGAATCCACTCCCTTTCTTGTGGGACGAGTGTCTATTTAACCCCCTTTGTTGGGATTCATGCTCCCTAGCTAATTCCCAGCATAAGCACGCTGCCGCCAGTGAAATGAGCGCAGCTGCTTTTCCAGAGTCTTAGAGCACTTCATAAACTCTGCTTCAACATCTGCAAGCCACATTTCTTATGTTCAGGCCAAAGTAATTGTCCTAGCAATGGGTATAAAAAATGGTTATATAATATACATATAAGTCTTGAAACACAGATTACTGAAAAGCCTGCCTGAAAAAATCACTCCGTGCTTACTCTCTACAAACTTCATCTTCCCTTGCCCAAGGGAGTTTAACATAATCTTGGGAGAAAAGTTACAGTTTTGAAGTCCTCAGGCCCAGATGCAAGACAGTACCATGGATGCTTTCACATACTATATTAGCAAACAGATTCTTACACATGCAACATCAGTACTCCACATAAAAGAGCAGTTCTTTCTGAGATTTTACCCTGACACCAAACTTCCAGCCAGACATGCCCCCTTCCCTGAATCAGAATAATTTAGCCAGGTTGCCTTTTGCTTCCTGAATCCTATTTCCACAAGTGATGTCAAAAGGCTAGGCAGGGAAAGTTTAACAACAAAGACGACTGATTCTAATAAGGGACTGAGAACCGAACCTAGTGAAAATAAGGCATTGTCAAGTTCAGCTGAAAAAAAAAGTGATATAAAAACACATAACAAATGCAGGAAAAAAAGGAAAAATAATTTGCTTTAAAGTGTTGGACTTGTCTCTAGAATAAAAGAATTTTCCTTACTATGACCTCATTTTGCAGATAAGTCAATTTGGACATGACTGGAGGGCGTCGTGTTTTCTTCAACAGAGGGTAGCTTCTTGAGAAAGCTTGTGACCTGGGACCAGCAGAGGGCACTGTGTTACCAAGTGACAGTGATACAGATGCGAGCCAGACAGCTTCTATCAGGCAGAGGTAGTGAGCCATGCTGGAGAAAAGTATCAAATCTAGAAGCTAATAGATGATAATAGATAATAATACTTAATGCAGCTATTAGTCATCAGCATAACGGTCCTACAACTGACACAGGTAACAGCATTAAAGCAAGCCTCAAACTCTGGGCACTCCCAGAAGCATGCCTAAATCCAGATTCGTCCCCACACATCTCAGTTTCCATGTGCCAATTTTGGAGCACAGGCCTCCTACTGAAAGTGCTTTTCAAGTGGCAGGGCCAGATCTTGCCTTGTAACATATGTACTGAGGCTGAGTTGCTTAAGTTGAAAAATATCCTGTCAGCTTCCTCTCTCCTTCTCAAAACCTCTAAATCCTTCTTTTTAGCAGCAGGAAGACTATTCAGACAGAGACATGGCAATACCAAAGCAAAAAGCTAACAATTTCTATTCTGCCCTCCCCCTTTGTCTCCCTGCCTCCTCCAACCAAGCAGACTTTCAGTGAGCAGAAAACCACGTTAGGAGACATGAAAGGAATGCTGAGACAGCAACTCTGGAACACTGTCTTTCCACATGCTTACTTCCAGTTTATTTTGAAATACCAGAAGATGACCACGAAATAACATAAAATCTCATCTTTTTTCTTCTCTCTGTATTTCAGCTTGCAGGATTCCGGGCACTAGAAGAAGCTCAGAGGCTAAGTTATCCTAGTCACATTCCTCAAACCAGTGAGTGAAAAGATTCCACCTTCTCTCTGTACAGTTGGTGGAATAACTTTGCCAGGATGTGGAAAGGGGCCTCAAAGTTTTTCATCTCCTTCTGTAAAGAAAGAAGAAAGTTGTGAATGACAGATAGAATAAGCATTTGACTATTTCTACTCTAGCTACTTCATACAAGAGAGATTTAAACGGAGGGTGAGTTAAAAGACAAACAAGGGAAAGGGAGCCCCCAGTTATCTCTCCTCACCTGAAAGAGAAGATAACTTTACAGACACCCACTTCTGCAGATGGTGAAAGGAACAGATACTCACCACTGACATCTCACAGTATTCCAGGCCATGCTTCTCAGCCCACTCCTGTGCTTGTTTCTGCTCTACAACTCGACGACCAACCAGGTCTGTTTTATTCCCCACTAAGACACCTACAGGGAAGGAGAAACAAAACAAAACAAAAAAAACCCCACCCAACCCAGAAATGCTGATTTGTTAGCAATAAATGCCAGATCATTTGTAGAAGGAGCTGAAAAAGTTGGGGGTGTGGAGAATAGGCTACAACTACCTAGAACAGATTTCACAAAGGAACTATCTGAAACACTCATGCCTTGTCTGCTTTGTGATAAAAGCAGATGATCTGGAGGAAGCCATGCCTGGCCTTGGCTTAAGATACTTACTCTATGCCACATCTCAATGGGAACAGCTGCTGCCATGTAAGAGGGGAGCAGACAAAAAGAACCTTATCTATTTCTTACCTGGAAGATGCATCCCAACTGCCTGAGCCCTCACCTTCTCCAGCCACTTGACACAGTTATTGAAAGATTGCTCATTAGTGACATCGTACACAAGGCACAGGACGTTGGGTTGCTCCCACTGCACAGCAAGAAAGGAGCGTTGTCAGCTCTAATGAAACTGACGTGGTCAACAGCCAGTCCGCATCTGCACAACAAACACAGATGCTAAGACAAAAATAAAAAGTCTAACATACAGGAACCCTATGCCCAGGCTGGGGTTTCGCATTTCTGTTGAGCTGATTAAATGGATAGCTGCCACTGAGAGTATTGGTTTTGCTCTCTCTCCCTGTTCCTGTCTGTCTGCATAGTTGCACTCCTTTCTTTGTATCAGCTCTGGCATTCATCTGATCCCTGGGAAGCTGATTCTGCTTGCTGAATCAGCACAAAACTAATCCAAGAGAAAAAAGTAAAATGTTTTCTTGCCAGTTTGAGAAGCTGAAGCAGCTTCCCGAGAGGTTCCTTGCAGATCAGATCTGGTGTAAGGGTTTGCACTACCCCTTGTAGTGCAATGAATCATTACATTGACTTAGCGATCTTGTGAAACCTCACATCAATTAATTGATCCTACCTTTCAAAATGAGACAATACAATGGAGAACTGTATAGGTAAGGACAGGAACAGAGTGAGGGAAAAATCAAGGACAGTATTATGCCCATGGACATGAAAGAGTCCTGTTGGATCAAAGAGATCACTATAACGGCAAAAAATCCTACTGCCAGAATAGTAGAAAAATAGATATTTTTCTAATACATAGAAGTAAATTTAACCAACAGCACATAGCTGTTCTCAGTTAAATATCCCTATTTGCTTTGTAAGAAATTGGAGGCTCGCCTATGTTCCTTCCTCTGGTAAAGATTTCTTCCAGTACTTTTACAAGTTTCAGAGAGATAGAACAGGAGGCATTGGCAATCGAGGTAGTTGCTCCCATTTATGCGAAAGACAAAGCTCGCTACATCTGCCAGACTGAGGAGTTCAGAGCTTCAAAGCAAAAGCACTTCTCTGGAAGAAGAGGGCTGTTACATAATACTTACCAGTTTCTCCAGCATCTCAGAAAATAGATCTTTGCCTGCAGAGTCAAAAATGAAGAGTTCCTGAAAGCAGAAGGAGAAAGAAGATTTTTGCCAGGAGAACTGCAGTGTGGGAAAGGTTTAGAAAGCAAACACTGGAACTTGTCACCCCTGCATTTGGTTCAGTACAGCAGTGCCACGTCCCTAAGGGACAAGTTCCTCACACCAAGAATACCTCTAGTTCAGAACGCATGAGAAAAGCGATAGCTATTTTTCCCTCCGTAAACAATAAAAGGGTCACCTTTGGGGCACCGAGCCTACTGGAAACAGAGTATGTGGAGTGGGATAGTAAGAAGCTAACCTGTATTAATAATATAAAATTATACACACATACACATCCCATTAGTGAGAATATAGGGCATTAGGGAAAAAGAATTACAGAAATTTGGGGCTTATTTGTTCTAAGAAATATGAACTAAGCCTGTGTCCTAAAGGACAGTACACAATCTTAACAAAGCTGGCAGCAGTTTTGGCTTAAGATGTCATGTGATATATAAGTATGTAAAACTTACATCTAAGATTAAACTATCCCTGGAGAATCAATAATCGTACAAGATCAGCCTCATTTCCTTAATGCAACTTAATGGCCTTATAAACACGTAGAGAGATCTTCCACCAGAATGAGACAAGAAGTGAGGTCTGAGCTCTGGACATCTCTTTCTGACTCAATTTATGTCACAGAAAAACTCACCACGCTATCGCTTGTCTCTGGAACTGATACGGCCTTCACCAACAGTTCTGTGCCCGTTGTCTGTCAAGAAGAATCAAAAAAACAAGGATCAGAAGAGTTTTTAAGAGCCTGTCCAACTGCGTACCAACTGTGCACTGGATTGAGGCAATTCTTGTGAATCTTACAATTCCATCAAATATATACTGCTAGGAACTCAACAATACTCCTCAAAACTCTGGTAACATACTCTTACTTACATGTCAAACCCACATGGATTTGCTCAGATAGGAAAAAAAAAAAAAGATGGAAAAGAAACAACATCTAGAAATTTGTTTAGATATTCGGGTGTTAGTTGAAATCTGCAGGACTACATTCACTGTCACATTGCTCCTCTTAAGCACACCTTAGAACTTGCACCAACCATGTGATCAGCTAACATATGGGACCGTGGTAATTTGTCCCTCTTCCACCTTTTATCTCATTCTGCTTTGTAGCTCTTATTTGTTCTATTTCTATCCCTAACTTCTGGTTTCCATCTTTACTTCAATGAATAAACATATGCCAGTTCTCCCCCCACATACATACTCATATTTTCTTTTTTTTTTTTTTAAATTTTACTTATATTTACTTTTATTTTTATCCCACTTCTGATTAGTCATCATCATTGATTCCTGCACTGAAAGACTGCAAACTGTATCCTCCTCATCAGCGAACAGTTTCTGTAGATTATAATTAACTTGGGGCTATGCAGCACATCTTCATGTCTGCATAGTGATAAGCAAACTGTCCACACACACATTTAATAGTTGAAATGAACAGCTTTCTCCCTTCAGCAATGCTTTTTCATAGAGCGCTCCCTAAAGGGGGAAGCTCTCCAAGACCACAAAAGCTTGTGAAAACATTGATTCAGCAAGAAAATTATAAAAATTAACTGGTTTACTCTGCATCAAGCTTTGAAGCCAGCCCCCACATAACGCAAAGACTTTTAAAATGCTAAGCTGTTTCTCTTCAGAACGCAGTATGTAAGAGAAAGAAAACCTACAACAAGACTCCATCTTCAATACCTCAGCTTAAAATTACATTATCCATTTTGTTCTAGAGTTTCTTATTTTTCTTTCATGCAACTCAGAAAAGTTGCTGGATAGCAGTTTGAGCCTGTTGTCTCATTTATGCTCACCATTGTGTAATTTTTCTGAAAATGGGCCCCATCATTGCGGAACATCTGGGCTAAGGCACTCTTCCCCACAGCTGGATCACCTGAGAGACCCAAAATGGAAAAGATTTTTGTTTCATCTTAGAGAATCTTATTTTCCCTCAGTTCTGTTTCTTTCAAATGCTGTAAGAACTAGCTTTGAAGTTATAACCTGAATACGGGTAAGAACTCCCACAAGAAGCACAAAACAATCAGAGACCTACCTACAAGTTGAAATTAATATCGCCATTATGCTTACTGGGCTGACTTCAGGTTTCTACTCTGTCAGCAACAATAAAGGGTCCCCAGATCAGAGCAGAATTGTCATTTGTCCTAAAATTCTTGTCTAGCCTATAGTATTTACCTAAAAATTAAAATTTCCCAGACATGTCACCGCGTAGAGAGAAATACAGTGGGATAAGAGGGATTGGGCTGCATAGAAGGCTGCTTCCTCTCTGTAGATTACACACTTTCCTCAGATTCAAATCATTGTTATATACCGAGTTCAGGGAAGAGGCAGGTCATTTTTATTCTGCTAAGCTTCTTAAGCTGGTAACATTCCTCCATGAACTCTTCTTACTGACCCTGCTAAGATAGCAAGTCTTGCTAACTCAATGCTGCAGTTGTCTCATTAGTTGTATCCTGGACATAACAGAAGCAAATGTCATTGGCTGGAGAGAAAAGTCCTCCTGATTCATCTCTATATGGAAGTAAAATCAGGGGGCTTTGGTCTTTGCTCTTTTAGAGTCAAGACTTAATGATTTTAGTTTGCACAACAGTTTGAGCAAACTTGAAAGCGGCCTTACCTTGGCCCACTGCTACAATAGTCCGTAAGAGCCAATGCAGTGGCAGAGAATTGCAGAGTTTGTGTGAGCCCAAATCACTTCATGAAACATATGGTACATCATAATTGTTGCAAAATGAAGAGTTAAGTTAATGCTCCCAAAAGACTTTTCCTTGCTTCATGTCTTCTTTACTGGCCTGGATAGTTCAAATGGGCAGGAATCAAATCTCTCAGGGTTATAGCTTGACTCTTGAAGGTATACTCATGAGAGCCAAACCTGGAATACAAGTCTTTTATCTTAGGTCATTAATAAACAAACCCACAAATGGGCATATTTTTGACCCTATTCCAGTTTCATAAACTGTATTTTGAAGCAGATTGAGAATTTTTCTTCTCATAGGATGTTAAATAGAACAAAGGGTACTTTGGTTAGTGATAGATGCATCAATCAAATTTAGTTCTTGTTTAAATATTTTTTGGTGTGCTTTCTTCCTTTAAGCTAGAGTTGGGCTCATAATATTTAGACAGGAAAATCTGGTAAGTCAGCCTGTTTGTTCCCTGATTAGCTTGAGTTTGTGCTGAAGACAACACTCTGTTCTGAGAGGAAGCTATTCTGTATTTCAATAGACAATTAGAACTGTCTTTCCAAGACGAGATGGAGAAGCATATATATACTGCTCCAAACTGTGCGGGGGTGGGGGGGTGGGGATTTTTTTTATTGCCATCATCCAGTGCAAATTCCTATCTAATGTGTTGCCTTTTTACAGTCTGATAACCCCAGTTGTTCTTCCTCTTTTCTTATTCTTAGCCATCATCTTAGCCCATTACTTCACTAGACTTCTCCCTCAAAATAAGTTTCTTTGCCCCTTTCTTTTTTTTTTGGTTTGGTCTCATCTGCCAATACTGCATCCCACAGTATTTGTTGCATCCACAGTTCTGCTATTCTGTCAGAAACTGTAACATGTCTCTAAAATACCTGCTGCTGCCAACTGTCCTTTATAATGCAAACCCTTTCACAATGTCTCTACAGTAAGCTCAAGCAGCAATATCTTTGACTGTGTATCTGTATATTACCCTCAAAATAACATAGGAATTGCTTTCTATTGTCAAGTTAATAGTCGCTGTTTTGCTAAGACAAGCTCTTTTTTTCCCCTTGTGCTCCTTGACCTTCATGCAGCTCCCAATTCTGTAAGCCACTCTGTCCTTCAAAATCACTTCCTTAGGTACACAGGAGTTCCTTGTTCCACCTCTGGATGGTTGTTCCTACCTATGTAATTGCGTTCTCCTGTTCCCTTTAGTTTGCTGTAGTTACTCATCTGTTCTGGCTCTTTCACTATATTGGTCTCTTCTGGAAGAAAGAGAAGTTATTTTGCCTGGTCTGTTGCATTCATTTATTATTTTTAATGATATATTGATATTATCCTAGCACTTCGGAACGCTGCACAGAATTGCAAAGGCAGCACCCAACCCAGTCAGGATTAAACATGCAACTGGGTCATCCACAGAAAACCTATGTTAATTTAAAGTGATCATGGAATCGGCCTTACTAACATTAAACAACAAAACCTGAAAGAGTTCAGCAAAGCCTGCATACTGGGACTAGAGACTTCCAAATTGAAAACGATGCATAAGTCGCAGATCTGGAAGACCAGCAAGATACTCATGTTGTCCACAGTAACTGTCAACAAAGGCATCAGGGAGATGCTGAAGGAGATTAACTCTTTTGCCTTTGCCAAAGATTGCACTTGGGCTTTGTGCGAGTTGGTTAGCTGTTTCTGAGGCAAAAAGGCAAAAAGATTTAATTCTTGATGAAAGAAAGCAGGTTTGGAGCAAGGAGTTAAACCTGGGAGTTGTCTGCATACAAATGTTTTACGATTTTGTGCTTGCGGTTGAGATTGCACAGAGCTTAAGTGTGGAGGGAAATTTAAAAAAAAAAGTTTTCTTACCATAGTGTTAACTGTATTTACTTTCCTCACCTCCATAATTCATTGTGACTAAACAAACTGGTGTCTTCACCTCACTTTTTTTCAGGTTAACCTACAGTTTGCTTGGGGAAAGAGAAGCCTTTGTGAAGGGTACCTGCTTTTTCCTTCTACCCTTTCCTAAGGCTTTTTCAGTCACACGCTCAGAATCGTCCTAATTTCTGCCACGAGTCTTTCCACCAGCACACAGGGATCCTCCAGCACCAGGCAGAACTCAGCCTGTTCCACCACGTTTCCACCTCATTAAAAAAAATACTCTTTTTATTTCGGCTCCTGCCCTTGCTTTTCAGCCGATCCGATTACCATTTCGTACTCTCTCCCGACACAGCTCGCGACCTCCCCACCGCGCGGGGAGATGATAAAAACGCCGTTTCCACCGTTTCGCTCCCGAGGGAACAACGGACCCCACCCTCCTCTTGTCAGCTCTTCCCTACGTGCTTTGCCGGCGGGGTGACCCCCGGGGAGGGGCCGCGAG